GAGAGGATTAGGGTGAAAGAGAAGCAATGAATCCGATGCTTCGTGGTACCGAACAGATTAAGATTGTAGCGATCTGTGAGGCATCCTCCTGATGCTTCACAGGAAATTGCATTCTTAAACTGTTCAACTCTAGGGTAAACAGTTTTCGTGCCCTCATATTTACTCATATCCCCATAAACTCTGTCCATTACTCTCTAAACCGTTACCAAGTTTGGTTCGTGGGTACAGGTTGAACATTTAAAAAAAAAAAAAGAAAAAAAAGAAACTGGATTGTGATCCCGAAAGAGAAATTTCCAGAATAGTTTTAAAATAAAAAGGCACTTAGAAAAATGTTTGAATTTCTAAACGGTGTAATTTAGAAGGAAAATAAAACGACAATGCCTTTGGTAGGCTTTTCTTTTCTTTTCTTTTTTTCGTTAATATCAAAAACTAGGATACTTTATGATTAGACCTTGTAATTATGAAAAAAAAAGTAATATGCGGTTACCAAATAATCTATGGTGTTGTACGCAGCAAGGACAGTCAAAAAATAACTGTTTCTTGTTATTGTGTTCTTTTAACTCTTCTACTTGAAGAGGCGTAGATTGTCTGATTCAAGCTGAGCTAAATGACCGTAATTACTGCCTAATACTTTTTCCCCGATTCTCACCTAAATAGTAGGATTGTCGAAAAAAGGCAGAGAAAGTCATTGGTATCAACAAGAGAGGTGAACAGGTCTGTAGAGCTGATTCGAAATGAATTGGATTGTATTGGAATAAGAAGCTAACTGGATTAAATTAGTGACAGGAAAATATTTACTACTCTGCCTCTGCTGTCCCCAATTAATTGACCGAGGCAGATAGAGACTCGACCTGAGAATTGTTATTTCTTTGTTTGCAAAAACATGATTTAAATTTGTTCAAATTCAGGTATTTTCTGTTTGTTTTCTACTGCCAAAATAACCGTTTTCTTTTTCTTTCTTTTTTTCAAATATAACACTTTTTTATTCTCTATATATATCCTTCTATCTACCTATCACCATCTTCATATCTATCTATCTATCTATCTATCTACTTCTCTTTCTTATATTAGCTCTGTGCTTTCTCTATTGATATACTTTATATTTTCTTTCTTTTTGTGTGCCGTGTTCTTTCAAGACGATCATGGCTCTCCACTCCTCCCTTATCCCTTGTAGCTCTCAATAAGTTTCGTGCCTCTGCCAACTTCCCCAGACCAGATTCTGCCATCCACCTGCCAGGTTCGTTGTTTTCCCTTGTCTGTTTTTTCCCTCTATTCGACTTGTGGGCATCAGATTCTCCAGGCCCTCCTTTCCCGTTACGTGTCCCAGAAATTTCAGTGCCCTTCCTTTATATTAAATATAAGCTTCCTCCTTGTTTGCATCGGCTCTAAGACCTCTTCGTTTCTCACACGCTCGCTCCATGATATCCTTAGAAGCACATCTCCGCTGCCTCGAGTCTCTTCTTCATCTTTGAGGAGACCGTCCAACATTCGTTGACCTATAGGAGAACAAATGTCACGTAGCAGCTCAGTACTCTTTTCTTCATCACCAAAGAAATCCTCCTGTCTCGCAGTACTCCGCCCAGCATTTGAAATGCATCCTTGGCCATCCCAATCTGTCGTCGGATCTCAGCGTCGCAACTACCGTCCTCCGTCAAAATACTTCCTAGATATTTAAACTTCCGTGTATGCTTGATTTTAGTGCCCCCGACCTCCAAATCCCATTTCGGACTCATCCTTTTACTGATGACCATACATTCTGTTTTCTTGTAGTTTATGGTTAGTCCCTTCTTCTCGCTCTCTCTCGCTGCCTTTTGTAGGAGGTTTGTAGTTTCTTTTTCGTGTCTGCTATCAGTGCTGTGCCGCCTGCGTATCTTATGTGACTAGGATTGTGGCCGCCAATGCTGAATCCCAGTAGGATCTCCAGTTCTCTCAGAATTATTTCGCTGTATAGGTTGAATAAGTCCGGTGAGAAGACGCATCCTTGCCTTTCTATTTTTGTATATTCGCTGAACTCATTCTCATTTCTCATACATCCCCTTTGCTGCCAGTATAGGTTCTTGATTATTCTAATATCTTTCCCGATTCTGCTGCGCGCTCTATTCATCAGAATACGGATGATGAGTTTTGTGACGTGGCTCATTAGGCTGATTGTTCCGTGGAGCTTGCTTTTATTTACGCCTGGTTTTCTGGGTAGTGCTATGAAAATAGATCAGCTGAGATCTTCCACTATGTTCCCATTGTTGTCGATTTCATTTATTATTATTATTATTATTTTTATTATTATTATTATTATTATTATATTTCCTTTGTACACATTTCTTTCTGGGTCCCGCCCAGGGACCTAATGATAGACATGGCATCATATCATTTTCCACTGACAATAAAAAAAAAAACATATTTTACATAGACAAAGACCTTCGTAAGGTGTGGGCTGTATTCGTGAAAACATTTTTTTTTGTATTTCTTTAAGGCATGGGCTTCCAGGAACCCCTTCAATTAGTCTACTGGAATCTTTTCCAACCAATCAGAGGGTTACAACTAGAACGAGGATTGTTGGTGTTCCTATGTGCCACATTTTTGAGATTTCGATTTCAAGGTCCTTGTATTTTGATAGCTTTTTGAAGATCTTCAAAGATACATTGCAGTCTGCAGGTACTGCCATATCAATAAGAAGGCACATATATATATATAAATATATATATATATATATATATATATATATATATATATATATATATATATATATACAAATGAGAGAAAGAACAGATGATGTAAAATTACGCTGTCGGTAGCATTTATTTTTTTAAAAAGTATTCAATACAAAATAAGGCAATATGTTATTATTTTTATTATATTAGAACAAAAACATGTTGAAATCGATACACGATATCAATTCCTTGATCAAAACAAACCAATAAGTCTTTTTTTTAGTTCTGACATTGTATTTTCTCACCCGATCCTTCATCTTTCGGAAAAGAGGTAACACTATGCTTTTGAAATTATCTTAAACATCAATTATCGCCATTTACTGACCATTGCTTGAAGAGGCACAAAGTTAAAGAGACACGAAAGCTATTGTATATCAATGTTTTTGTTCTCATCTTTTATTATATATATATATAAATGTATGTCAGACACATTTTCATTCTTTGTATTCTTTAATCTGTTTTTGTTTTTATTTTTCTCTCTATCTCTCTCTCTCTCTCTCTATATATATATATATATATATATATATCTTATTCTCTTTGATTCATTTATATTTTCTCACTTTTGGGATCTATTTATTTTTTCTTTCCTGAATTTATCTCTCTTCTTTTTCTACTTCAGTCTACCTCTCTTCTTTTTTTTGCTTCTCTTTTTTCATCTCTCTCTGAATATCCCTTTCCCTACTTTTCTCCACTCTCTATCCACTCCTCTTCTCTATCTCTTTCTCACACTCTGTACATTGCCTTTATCTCGATTTCTCATTATCCCGTTCTTTCTCATATCTCATCTCTTTCACGCTTCATTTAACTTTTATGTTTTTTGTTTTTTTTTTTTATCTCTCTCTATTTCTCTTCCGTCCTCATTATCTATCTAAATCTCTCTTCATATTTTCTCCATTTCCTCTTTTTCATTTTCGTCACATCCTCTCTCTCTCTCTCTCTCTCTCTCTCTCTCTCCCCGTCTCTTGCTCACTCTGTGTATTCTCTTTATCTATTTCTCAGTATCTCTTTCTGTCATACCACTGTTTATCTCTCTTCATCGCTTCTTTAATATTCTATCTCTATTATTGTTTCTCTCTATTTCTATTCACTCTAAAGCTATATTCTCTTTCAGCTCCTTTCCATCTCTGTGTATATCTCTTTCCCTCCCATTCTTTTTCCTTGCTACCATTACCCCTCTCTTTTTCGTTCTTTCTTTGTCTTGCCCTCTCCATATCTCGTGAACATATTTTTGAATTTACTCTTTTTCATTCACCATATCTGTCGCCAACGTTACAGCCTGCACGGAATTTCTACACGAGTTAATTCGCCTGCTGTCAGAGTCACACCAACTTAGTTTTGTAAGAATATGTACGGATTTTCTTTTAGGGGATGCGTGTTTTTTTTTTCTTTTTCATTTGTTTTTTGTAATTACGTTCATTTAGGTGTTAGCCCCTCAACACATGTATATGTTTATATATTAAAAATATATCTACAAGTATGTTGTCACGCCTGTATACAAAAATTGCTACGCCTCAAATTCTTCTTCACTATATCCATGGCTGCACAGTTTCTACAAACCGTTTTGTCGTGATGTCTGCAACACCAGACAATACACCAACACTGACCTATTTATTTCTAGTCAATGGAAAGAGCTATTTGCCTTATTATGCACTACAAATGGATAGACACTTGCAAATTTGTCAACATCTCTAATGTTTTGTCCCTGTTCTTTTTTCTTATATAAATTCCTCTTCGTTATTTGTGAACAAGGATTTTACTTCTAGCTTCTCCTTGAATAAAAATACAGCAAAAATGACACTTTGAAAAAATACTGTAACTTTTATATTATTCGATGAAAACTAGATTTCGGGATAATCACTTTTTCTTCATATTATTTGTTTACAACCTTTACTTATAGGTGAAATGAACAATTCGCTTGTATATAGTGTTGAAATGATCTTAGCTCGTTTAAGACGAGACTAGAAACGTTTGGTTATTTGGTGAGATCATGGAATCTGAGTCAGTCCGAGAGCATTTCTCACACACACACACACACACACACACACACACACACACACACACACACACACACACACACACACACACAAATGATTGACGCTACCTTCAGCATTCTGATTCCAGAGTTTCGTAGGATTTAAGCAATTTACTGCTTATATTTTTTCAATGTTTTCTTTTTATACACATTAGCACTGGTATAAATTTTCGTCAGTATTCTGTTTTCGTGTGTGCACTTGTCTACATGTTCGCGTGCGGTTACTTCACGGATGTGCTGCGTGATCATGTTGGTCTTTTCTATTTTATCTTTAGCTGACTTGGTCTGGTTTTGATCCATCTCTCAACAAGTGACCTACTATAAAGAAAAGAGAGAAACGTTTGTATAAGAAAAAAAAGAGAGAAACCGCAAACGTTTTTGGTTGTAATGTGGACTTTTAAAAATATATTATGTTTTATTTTCCATATTTTTGCTAAACGCGTTTCCGGTATTGCGACCTTCATTTGGCAAAGAGTGGATCGTTCCACATATTATTAAAAGAAATTAATTTTTCCTATGTTTTTCGATGTAAAATATTCTCGATATTAGACATTTCTTTTTTGTGTGTTAGTGATTTAAATGTCTTTCTTGGACTGATATATATATATATAAAAGAGAGAGAGAGAGAGAGAAAGAGATTAGCCGATTCCGCTACCTTGGTTTCAACCTTTCGGTATCTTCAAGCGATTTCGGTCAATAGATTTCCAAACACTTTATTTTTTTTAAACAATAAGGAAAGAGAGAAAGAAAAAAAGAATGAAAAGAAAAAAAATCGGGGGAGAGAGAGAGCGAGAAGGAATGAGAAAGAAAGTGAGAATAAAGGAAAAGAGTTTGAGAAAAGAGAGTGAATGAGAAAGAAATGTGAGAAAGAAAGGGAAAAAGAGAGGAAAGTGAACAAAAAAACGTCCCTGAGAAACAATAAAAAAATTATGAACCCTTTACTTTTTAAAAATAAATGAATCAAATCAAGTCATGAAATGTGGTAGAAGGGGGTTGGAGAGAAGGAGAGTGTAAAAGCAAATGCATTGGAAATGTATCGGTGGGGGATTATAGGAAATATACATACTTTAAAAAAAAATAAAGCGTTCATAATTTTTTAAAAGAAATAAAGCGTTAAGAAACCAATTGATCGAAATCGCCTGAAGATGCCGAAAGGTTGAAACCAAGGTAGCAGAATGGGCTTATCTAATTTTTTTATACTTAAAAGCTCTACATTTTTATCTTTTTGTATATATATTGTGCACTTTTAATACTACTGTTTCCTGGTCTAGTTCAACTCTGACCATTAACTTTTTATTATATATATATATATATATATATATTAGTCAGTAGGTATGATATCCAATATAGATATCACGACTCGGAGTTTCATGCATTTCTTGCAATCTTCAGGTGCAAAAATAATCTGACCGTTATAGATTTTGCTTTCTATGCGTGGTGAGGATTCAAAATTGTGAGTTAACGCTTGTCTATTCAATTACTGTTGCGTAAAATATTAGAATTAACTATTAATAATTTATATCATTCAACTTGTTCAGTTCGAAAAGCGAAGATTTTAAAAAATTTAAAATTTTGAAAATTTACATTTGGATTCAAAAGTAAACAATATATCAAGGGGGATAACTTACATAACATATCCTAATTATACAAATTAGAAAACTAGAAAACAGGTTGGAAATATAATATAAGGGTTCAAATATAAAATAAAATAATAGATCGGGACTATGTATCTAATGTATTTGGAACCAAGCCTTGTGTTCATAAATGTGAAATTATATATACACATGTTATAAATTAACCGAGTACAATAATACTGGATCGTATGTGTATATAGATATATAAGAAATGCGATTAATGATGGGTTCTAACAATATTAAAGTTGCTGCATATTATATAAATATTAGTAAAATCGATTTTACAATCTCTTTTAATCGAGGTCAATGGGTTTGAGCAGGTGTTTGGATTTATGGATACATGTAGAGATCAATTCAGACCTCGTGATCAGCAAGTTAGGGTTATTTAAGCATTTTAATATAAGCTTCTCCAACAAACACAAATTACATCTGTCTCCTTTTCCATTGCATGGCTTAACTTCCACGATTATCTTCCAGCTAATGATTGTGTTCTTATGGTTAATCGCCAAATATACTTCGAAAGTTTTGTATTTGAGCTCAGTGTCATTTTCTGGTGGTAAAAAAAAAAAATTTCCACCTGTTCTCGGTGGATCCAAACTGATATTCAACGTTATCATCCGAATTGATCCTAGCTCTGTATAGTATGCCTTCTGTCATGCACTAGCCATTTAATGAGTAGGTTACGTTTTTACAGAAGTGGCATTGATTTTTAGTAGGATTATTTTTAGTGTTTTTTTTTTGGTGGGGGGCTTAATACATTATTGTTATGTTAGGATATGTAATTATCTATGAATTTGTACAGCTATAGCTTAGCTTAATGTCAATTTTGTTAGATAATACCCAAAATATTTGTTAATTAGATTCAGAAAAATTCTCCCTACATTTGTTTTGACATTACTCTGGTGTGAACCATATAATGTTACATTTGCGTTGTTTGAGCTTATTTTTATCTTTGTTGCTATTTCTTACGACATATTGGAATTTCACAATATGGTTGCTGCGTTCTAGCTTTTTGTTATATCTCGCTTTATTATCGTCGAATAGTTCTTTGTTACCGGAGTTGGTCGAAAACCTTATTGTACCTATCTGAGCAAATTGTCAAATATACTTTTATGGTGGTTGTGTCTTCTGTCAATGTATGATGTTAATGCTAAATGGTAAATACTTGTAGATACACATGCTCTTGCACATATACACACACATATATATATATGCACACCTGCATGCATAATACACATATTTATATATGTTCACTGAGCTGTTATTTCGGTTTTTTTAATTGGGTGCGGTGATAACATAAGTTAATTGTATGAGGTTAAATTTATAATTGAGTTTATTTATTATTGTTAGAATTTAGGTGCATATGTCTGTAATTATGCACCCATATATATATGCACATGTATTCGCGCACGTATATAGGTGTACGTATGTGTATGTACGTACACACAGACGCGGGTAAATGTACACTAAAATCTGTGATTTGTCTGTAATAAACTTGTGCATAAATGAAGTTATTTAATATTTTAGTATTAAATTTTACATATACACATACACATAGGTACATCTATGATATGGCTAAAAAATCAGCATACTCTGATGAAAACATGCTCCAAACGTAATGAAAACATAGTTGTGTCGTCAAGTTATTTTTAAGAGGAAGGATCAAAGTATTTTTTGAATATTTAATTAAATCTTTTACTCATTTTTAGAACATTCGAAATCTTGATTAAAAAACTTGCTTTTTCTGCATCAGTGGTTGTACATAATTACTTTAATCATCCCAATTAATCAGTAAACTACTCTCAAATCCGATTTGGTTTTGGACCACTCAGCCAATGATAAATTGATACAATTATAAAACTATTACTTAGAGAACTTAAATGCCTAAACTTGAAAATTTCTGTAAATACCAAAATGAAAAAAGTTAACTTTCTTGATATAACAATAGATTTAGTGAATAATTTATATCTACCTTACAAAAAGTCCAATACTACTACTTTTTATATACACCATAAGTCTAATCATCCTTCATCTATAATTAAGCATATACTTTCATCTATTGAAAAAGGAATAAGTATAAATTCAGCAAATGAGAAAATATTCTATGAACACAGTAATTTCTATAATAAAGCTCTAAAGAATAGTGGCGATAAATTCCCAAAAGTTAGTTATATAAAAAAATGAAAATGGACACCATCGAAAAAATAGAAAAACCATTTGGTATACACATCCATCCATAGTACAAAAATTGCTGGGATTATTGATAACCATTTTCCTAGAGATAATAAACTCAGTACAGTTTTTTAATAAACATACCCTAAAATTAGGTTACAGTAGTACTGAAAACTTTGAAATGAATATTAAGAAGCATAATGCTAATACCTTGAATAAACACTTATACCAAAATCAAAAACATATATATCCTAAAATAAAAAGAAATGAAAATGAAGAAAAATTATGTAACTGTAGAAATCCTCAAAAGTCTCCTATTAATAATAAACGCCGTATTGAATCAGTAATTTATCAATGCAATATCTCATCAATTGAAGATCCAGAAATGGTTAAATTCTAAATTGGATGCACACGGTATGAATTCAAAAGAAGGTGTAACCAACATCAAATGTTTTAATAATAATAAATACCGAAATCAAACGTTCCTATCTAAATATTCTGGCACTTAAAAGAAACCAGTAAAACACCAACGGTAAAATGGAAATTAATAAGAAAAGCTAGAGCTTGTAGGTCATTAAATAACCCATGTCCTTTGTGCATACATGAAAAATTATACATTTTTAAGTTTCTGAAAAATTAAAATTTACTAAATCAAATAAATTAAATAGCTATTTAATGTAGGAACTGTCAAATATTTTCCTTAAGTAATAATTAATATTAAGAAAAACAATAATAAAGAAGAGAGATGAAATATACATTTTTTTTATATTTGTTCATTAATTAGTAATTAAATTCTAATATATTTATTTGTAAAAATACCGTATAGTATATTAGTTATTAGAAGGACGAATGGTTCTTTACATTTTTAGAATAAAATTTAAATATTAAAAATATAAATTACACATTTTCAAATGACCCTTTTAGAATATCTTTTTTGTATAAAAATATGAATTAAGCGGAGGAAAATGCCAATAATTTGTTATTGAAATCCCAGATGACTCGATGAATAACAGATGTCTATGTTTGTGAGCAGGCACCCCCACCTCACCTAAACTTAACTTGACTTTGTAAGTATCACATATTGGAAACATAAGCTGTCTAGGGAAATTGAAACCCAACCACCCCTAAATTAAAATAGACTGAATTTCTTTAATCTTAATAATCCATAATATTAATATTGTCTTCACTTATAAATTAAGTAAATTTCTTAGAAAATTATCCCTAACATCGCTTAACAATGAAACGAAACTGTGGATTTTAAGTTTAATTTTTATAATTTATAAATTTAATTTCAGTTTTGAGACATAGAAATTTTCTGTGTCACAATGGAATCATATTTTAAAAAGAATATATATAAGGAATTAATGGATTTTTATTCTTAATCTGACATTATTTCTACAAGACGTTATTTCAGAGGAGACAGGTTTTTGAGAAGAGGACCTGTTTTTTGAGGATTTTTAAAAACCTAAATCATGTCGAATCAGACAATGGCTTTCCCTCCAAAGGGAAATGCAGCTTCACAGGCAGCAGGAGAACAGGTTTAACATCATTAAGTCTCTCGCATGTAATGACCAATAGATATAATTCACACTGACAAAGCAAGGATAGATAGATAGATAGATAGATAGATAGATAGATAGATAGATAGATAGATAGATAGATAGATACCCGGCATCTATAGATAAAAATCTAGAATCTATAGATAAAAAAGAGAGTCAAATAAAAAAAAGAAGAAAATACACACACATTTACAGATATGACTATGAATATATCTCTATATATAAATCGATAATTAGTTTATATTGAGCTGCATAAGAGAAAAGGAATATTCGCCGGCACAATTCTTAGAAGTGGGAACTTTTCGGCTTTGAAAATCAACGTTTAGAAAAAGGGTGAATATACTCCGCTGGCGCCATTTGAGATTACACAACGAATTTACGCACCAACCATATATATATATATATATATATAGAGAGAGAGAGAGAGAGACAGACAGACAGACAGACAGACAGAGATAAAAAATAGAGGTCGAGAAAGAGAATAGTAGAGATACACAGAGAGAAGATTTAGGTTTTGTGACTTGCACGTCAAAAGAAATAAACGTGAGTAAATAGTGGAAAGAGCATTGTGAGAATGAAGTAGAAATCGGGAAAATGAAATTGAGACGAAGAGAAGGAAAAGAATTATCTACAAATACTGAAGAAAATTACATACAGGGTGCGATGGGTAAATTGTCGTCATTTTATATTTTTAATTTCGTGCATGCACGTTGTTTGTTTTTGATTTTGTCGACTGCACAGTTGTGCACCATCTGTGATAAAAAAAAAAAAACACCATGACGCAAATCCCTCCGCTAGAAATTTTGAAACGGCATGCTGTACTGCTTAGCATTCGCGCCGGACCCTCCAATAAGAACATTTCAGAGTGTTTGGGTGTCAATCTGAGGACAGTGCGGAGGTTTCGGAAAAAGTTTGATGAGTCCAATTTCGAAGGTGCTTCGATTGATCGCTAGTGATGGCGACATTCATCTTTCCACAGTGCCTCAGACCCAACACAAAAGCCTACATCAAGTGCCTGCTAGGTGGCTTCTGGAAGACCCTATGTCTGGCAACAGGACTCTACACCATGCCACACAAGCAGGAGAACCCAGTCAAGGCTGTAAGACGATTTCTGCGGCTTACATCTGGCCACCTATCCCCGAAGACTGCTATCCCTTGATTATTATGTGTCGGGTGCAGTTGAGAGAGACCAACAAAACTCTTTGTAATACCAAAGATAAACTGAAGGCAAGGATGATGGCAGCATTCACCAACTTAAACAAAGAGATTCTGAACTCAGCTTTGGTAGAAGCCAGTGGTGATTTGATTGAATGAATTTATTCTTTAGTATTTCAAGATATTTTTATGTAATTTTGGTAAATATATCTGTTAAAATTAGATGTCAGTGTTTTCATTTTTGCGTAATTTAGACGATAATTTATCCATCGCATCCAGTACATTCTAACACGCAAAATGCTGATGGATTACAAGGGAATGGATTTCAGTAGTCACGGATTATCTCGTATGTGTGTATGTGTGTGTGTGTGAGAGAGAGAGAGAGAGAGAAAGAGAAAGAGAAAGGTTGAGTGAGAGAGAGTAAGACAGCGAAAGAGATGAAAAATGAGAAAAATTGAGGTAAAAGATAGAGAAAAAAATGGAGAAAGGTGGGTAAAGAAAGAAAAGAGAGTGAAACATAGACAAAGGAGAGAAAAAATCGAAAGAAAGAAGGAGATAAAGATAGACATTTAGCGAAAGTGACAAAGCGAAAATCGAGAGGAATGGGAAGAGGAGAGAAAAAAAGAATGTAGAAAGATAGAGTGTGCGAAAAGAGAGAGTGAAAGAGAAACGCAAAAAAGAGAGAAGTAGAGTGAAAATGATAAGAAAGAGAAAGAAATGAATGGGAGAAAAGAGGAAAGAATGATCGAGAGGTGAGAGAGAGAGAGTGAAAAAGAAAAAGACTAAATCGAGAGAGAATTATGGAGAAAGAGAGCAAAAAAGTAAAGAGAATAAGAGAATAAAGAGTATGAGAAAAGAAAGGATGAAAGAGAAAGAAAAAAGTGATAAAGTGTGAGACTAAAGTGTAAGAAGAGAAGAGGAAAGAGATAGAAATGAATAGGAGAGAAAAGAAGAGAAAAAGAAAGAAGCGAAAAAGGAAAGAGAGAAAGAAAAAAAGAATGAAAAGAAAAAAAATCGGGAGAGAGAGAGCGAGAAGGAATGAGAAAGAAAGTGAGAATAAAGGAAAAGAGTTTGAGAAAAGAGAGGGAATGAGAAAGAAATGTGAGAAAGAAAGGGAAAAAGAGAGGAAAGTGAACAAAAAAAAAAACGCCCCTGAGAAAATGGAGTGAGAGAGAATTAAAGATGGAAAATAGAGAAAGAGAGATAGTTGAGAATGTATGAATTTGCGGATTATTTCTAGCGGAAAAGAGAACAAAACTTATCGATCTGAATCGTAGTAAATCTTCGTACAAGTCTTGAATATGGTCAAGTTTCTTGAGAAGTTCATAGTAAATGTGGATGCGTATGCATAAAAAGGTTGACAAAAAAAAAAATAAAATACCTCGATCAATCAGTAATGAAAAGAACTTTTTTTCCAGAAAATTGTGCGTCGGAGAGGCGTTGGAAAGTAGTCAACGCAATCATCCTTTTTTCTCGCTGAAATCGCATCACATTGTCTTTAATCTATTCTATCGTTACAGCTCTCAGTTGAATAGTGTAAGAAAAAAAAAGTAAGAAAAAGAAATCGATGGCAGTTCCTGCAGCAGTAAAAATTTATTGGCTGTGGTTATCTACAGTTGGTTAATGTCCTCAAACTGAACTTTTTTTAAAGTACCCACCGGAAGATTGGACCGAAAAAATTATAAAATTATTCAAAACACGCCCATTAGAGATTTTACAAGATCAGTTGATTTCACCAATATGTTAGCGATCACAAAATACACACGAGCATGCATATATATATATATATATATATATATATATATATGTGTGTGTGTGTGTGTGTGTGTGTGTGTGTGTGTGTGTGTGTGTGTGTATTAGCAAATAAATATTTATTTAATTTTGAATGTAGAAAAAACAGTGCTAAATATAGTTAAACAGAGCCATAAAATATATATTAATAATTACACATATGCCTATGTTTGCAGTACGACTCAGAGTTTCATGGCTTTTCCATTCATCAGATACCTGATGGGAAAACCATGAAACTCTGAGTCGCACTGCAAATGTAGGTATACGTGTAATTATATATATATATATATATATATATATATATATATATAATGGCAAAAATTTACTCATCACACACTGCATATATATATATATATATATATATGTATATATATATATGATATAATGGAATATGCATACACCTGTGTTCCCCCTCACTAGAATATGATTGGCTGGTGTCCGTCATAAATACCTACGGACGTGTAGGTACGAGAGTCAGGACAGAGCGTTAGTCTGAGAGATAAGTCTATTACGAAGCCCATTGGATTACACTTCTTACCTGTGACTACGACGCGTACCAGTCGATTACTGCTACCGGATTCTACTTGGTTATAGTAGCAAAAGCACTTAGCTACTGCGTTCAAATATATCCCTTTCCGGGACACACGCACGCACACACACACACACACACACACACACACACACACACACACACATATATATATATATATATATATATATATAGTTGTATATTTAGGAAGCAATCATTCCTTCATTAAAAACGACTGACAAGGTACTACGGTTAAGTTGTTTTTTTTTTTTAATTTTTCTTGTGTTCTAACAAGATCTTTCTTTTCTGGACAAAGGGTGTGTAAGAACTGTCCAAATGTTTTATATTTCCGCGTGCTTTCGGCTATACCTTTAGTCATTATCAAGGATGATTCGATTTTTCAGAGTGTATGCGTTCTGTGTATGTCTTAGTGTGTGGTAGGGATGTTTTTAATTTCCGAATATATATTTACGGACTTTCACCATATAGATGAACCACAGGTTCACAAGATAAAAAAGAAATGAAAATCTAGGATTCTTTCTCGGATTTTTCACAGGGATGGAACTGACACAAAGTGGCCAACGAAAAACATACAAGACGAAAAATTTCAAAATAAAACATTTTTACAGGAAGAAATAAAGAAAAGAAAAAATTTGTATAACCAAGGGAAGGAGTTATAAAAGAACAGAATGTATAAGAATATATATATATATATATATATATATATATATATATATATATATATATATATATATATAGCAAGATCAAACCAAGAAGTCCCTTATCTGTCTTGATGGTCAAACGTACGGGTCAGTAGAGTTTCCACATAGAGTTCTGAATCGCCGAGATGAAAGTCCGTATGTGAATACAATATTTCGTCGGCCGGTAATTTTTCTGGATTCCTTTTCAATGTGATTGGCCCTGATCTGGCATTTCGTCTACAATCGATCTCTAACAGACATACCGTCGCCTCCCTCTCTCTTGTCTATAAATATTTTCATGGTAACTGCTCTGACAAGATACTTTCGCTAGTTCCCAGACTGGATGAATTTAAACGTGCTACTAAGCCGGCATCTCGGTCCCACCCTTTCACTGTCGAAACAGTTAAATGTAGCCGTCTCTTCTACTCCAACAGCTTCATGTCTCGCACCTTCTGTCTGTGGAACTCCCTTCCTCTTACTTACCTGATAGCTATAATCTCCAACTATTTAAATGACAATCGACATCTCCAGATGCCTTGATCTATTCCCTGTCCTTCTCACCAACCTTTCCTCTATAACGCTTCTTTACTCTTGCTCTCACTCTCTGTAACCCCTTGCGTGGGGTGAAATGATTAAAAAACTGTTGTGGTAGGATCCACCTAATTTGCATAGTGGAGGACCGACCATATAAATATGGTTGGTACCGGGAAGAGAGGGATGAATCAAGAGATTCAAACAGAGACTCTGCCCGACTGCGACTCAGTCAACACATTCTCCAGGAACGGTCTTACCAGGAATATACAAAAGACTATATGTAAATATTGTGTACATTTTCTTGTTTCAATACATTTTGTTCTAAGTATATTTTGTGTTGCATTATTATTCCATGCATTAGTCAAGTTTCAGCAAAAACAAAAACCAATTCGGAATGATCTGAGATCTACAGTGACACGTAGAGACGTTCATTGGTCAATTCGGTCCAGTATTACCGTGATGTAGTAACTTTTTCATCTCCCAATGAATGTTTATCCACAGTATGCTTTTCTTCTATAATCGACGGACTTTCACATTTTCTTTATCTCGGTAGGTATTCCGTATGAGAATCGGAACGATTCGCTCGCCGGTCCTCATCAAATGCCGGTCAGACATTTGGGTTTTTTTTTCGCTATCCAAAATTCGTCGCGTGGGATCCTTTTGGCCTTGACGGGGCATGCAAAAGGATGGGGTGCAATCACGAGGGGGGTGGCGACTCTGAACATGATCAAATCACGTGGTCGCCTCAGTGCTTGTGGTTAACTCGGTGCCAATTGCCTTATGGTCTCGGTCTCTCTCTCTCTCTCTCTCTCTCTCTCTCTATATATATATATATATATATATATATATATATATATATATATATATATAAAATATAAAACACAAACGATTTCAAATTGCTACTAAAAGAGAACAGAAATCGTCAGTGATAAAATTTAAAGAAAGAATGTATCTATCAGCACAGCCACTCGAATGAAATATGGCGCAGAATCATCTTTAGAGAGCATATACCAGGGGTACATTGCAGTACCCCACTTGGAAACCTCAGGTCCAGGTATTAACCCTGACACTGCACCTCTTAATGCAATTAAAAGGATTAGTAGGCAACCAGAAGTAATATCTGAGCATTTATGTTCTAAGCGTTGCTTAAATGTGGTACGCCGAAAGTATGGGGCACCCAATGAGGTTCGACTCACTATTTAATTGTTTTAGCGAGACAAGCTTGCTAACCATTACACTACGCCGAGGTGTACCATAGGGATTTTCTAAGCGCTGCTTAAATGTGGCACAAGGCCGAAAGCATGGAGCACCCAGTGAGGATCGAACTCACTACTCACTCGTAATTGTTCTAGAGAGACAAGTTTGATAGCCATTACATCACGACGAGGTGCCCAAGTAGTAGCTGCGTAATATTAGTAGGCCTTCGTTTATCTTTCGAGAAAATGGTAACGACCGTTTGGTTCAAAATTCAGTCTTCATGGATGCAGCGTCAGAAGTGGCTCAGCAGTCTGATCTTTGAGTGTCATTATCTTCTACAGATCTAGCAGACGAAAATGTCGGCCGAAGGTCTGTAGCCAAGAAATTTTTCAGAAAAATCAAAAAAGTTTTAGTACTAGTGAATGATGTTTTCCAGAGAAGAGACAAATGATAAAGACAGACAATATATTAAGAATAAAACATAGATGAACAGCTAATGTAATATTTCATCTCTTTTTCCTCATTTTTTTTATTAATGTCTACCCAATACGAAACCAAAGAGCCACTCAATGTAGAGGGTTACTGTGGGGTATTGTATTAGGGAATGAAGTGATGTTCTTGGGAATATGCAGAAAAGATAACGATTAACCCTAGACTTTGAAAGGTCAAGATTTAATTAGTGAATAACATTTCAGAGTTCAGCCAGAAACGTGAAAAGTATAGCGTGGAAGTCGAGTTTAGAAGGAATCAGAAATCATATCCGAAACAGGAAACAAGGCATAGACACCTACTCCTTCTGAAAATACCGAGAAGGTGTGTGAACCGGATAATAGATGAACGTATCTACTCCTTATATGACAGGGAATGCTGGACAATTTTCTCACAGATGAAGAAGGAATTTAAAACGGCAGAAATGACGAAATCTTAGGAGTGCTATGAACAGAACATGTGAGCAGCAAGGAAGTCTTCACGAGAACAGGAAAAACATTGACATTTATCCGCATAATGAGAAAGAGGCAGATGGAATTTCTAGGGCCTAGTGGCAGTTCTATAGAAAGCCAGCAAAGCCAGGTTAACAACGAGTGGTCGGGTAGAATAAGGGTTACTCACAGTACAAAAATGGAAAGTTGTGGAGAACCATAACTGCCTAAGCCCTGAAATAACTTGGCACGGAAAAGAAGTAGAGTAATTTCAAGCAATGTACGAAATGTCTGGAGAGACAAGAAAAACACTGGTCAGCTTGAGTGATAAACACATTTATGTGTCTGTGCAGATTCTACGAAGAGCATTTTAGCTAGCTCGATCGCTAGCTAGCTAGTTAGACAGATAGATAGATAGATAGATAGATAGATAGATAGATAGATATTCATCAAAGGAACAGAACTTTTGCGCTTATTTATATTCAGTGGTCTTCCTATTCTACATTAAAGTTCAAATAATACAAGGCTCGAGAGACACTCCCGGTAGAGGTGCTCTGCTAATATAGTTATGATGAATAAGATGGGTGATATGAATTTAGGAGAAAGTGGTACGAAGTAGAGATTATTATTATTAAATCTTGGCTTGAAGTGAGTATTAAGAGAAAGGAAAAGAAAAACAAAAAAAAAATAAAGAGACAGCTTTTGAATCGCATAATGAGAAAAGAGGACTTTGACATTCGCGGGGCATATTGAAAGCAAAATGGACAAATGGAAACAGAGAGTAATCTATCTAACGAGTTTGTGCAAATGGATGACAGAACAGGGAATCGGAAAGATATATTTTTAAATACATTGCTAACAGCGAGCGAAGGATAGGAAGTAGTGATTCAATTAATTCAGACGTCGTCTCCAAGATGATGCGATGGATTGAATATGGGAGAAAAGATGAAGTTTTAGAGAAAATGGAAACTAAGAAAGACACTTGCATTTAACATCAAGAAGTGACAACTGAAATTTCTAGGGTACAATATGAAAAAAGAGGACTTGGAAAATTTGACACTAACAGGACATATTGAAAGCAACAGGGGTTGGAGGAAACCTACCCGACGAGTTCTTTGTTAATGGATGGCAGCACAGAGTTTAGAAGAAATAACAAGAAGACAAAATTTATTAAAAGCTTCGAATGACAGAAAACTGTTGAGACCTTTGATCGCCCGCGTCCATAAAAGACATGGCACATAGAAGAAAGAAGAAAAAGAAAAAGAAGAAGAAAAAGAAAAAGAAGAAGAAGAAAAAGAGAAAAAGAAGAAAAAAGAAAAAAGAGAAGAAGAAGAAGAAGAAAAAGAAGAAGAAGAAAAAGAAGAAGAAAAAGAAGAAGAAGAAGAAGAAAGGTTGATTTGACTGATTCGTTTTCTACGGGTCATCAACACTTTACAGGTTATTTAAAGCGAAAAAATATTTTTAGATTGTAAGAATTTTTTTTTTTTTTTCGAGATAATGACGATTTAGTAATACGTGTTTAACTAATTAACCCATAGCAGGGGAGAATAGATAGATTTCTAGCTTTCGCAACAGTATTTGCACATAAATGAATGTAACGAACCCAGCTGAGATTGAAACTGGTCACTGCTATTAACATTCCGAACCATTATTCATTACACCACCCACACATCCAAGCTTACAGTATTTCCAATCGGTCACCCATCGTGTTACTGACCAGACTCGACGTTGAATTATCTATGTATCTCTCTCTCTCTCTCTCTCTCTATATATATATATATATATGTGTGTGTGTGTGTGTGTGTGTGTGTGTGTGTGCACGCGCGCGCACGCACGCGCGCGTGTGTGTCTTCGTATGTATATATGTATTAATGCATATTTGAGCAGCAAGCTTTGTTTTAAACACCTTTCTAAAATAAAATACCCTTGAAAATGGCTAAAGAAGTGTAGAAAACTCTAGTAACAATGAAGATTATTGATTCAGTTTCGCAGTGGGAAAGGGTACGTGTCATTCCCTGTAAAGGAAATGAATATTAAATACTATATATAGAAAAATATATCAGTGAAATTTGTGGAGAAAAATTAGATTCGTATGTGGTAAAATAGGATAGAAAAGTTTAGAAAAACTTACTGAAGAGACAATATAATGTTTTGAAAATGACAACTAGTATAAGAAACTAAGAAAAAATAAGTATAATGCAAAACGGGAGTCAGAGATATTATGAAGAGAGAGTAAGAGAAAAAAGACGACAACAAAGCTTAGAATATGAGTGACAGTATAAGGGGAAAAAAACTAAAGGACTGGATATAACAAAAAGAGAGAAAATTGAGAAAGATCTAACTAAAGGATTTTAGAATTTCACAAACATACCAACACTATATAATAAATGCTAAAGAACTCTGAATTATATGTCTAACTGTTCTTTCCTATCATTTTAATATATATATATATATATATATATATATATATATATATATATATATGTGTGTGTGTGTGTGTGTGTGTGTGTGTGTGTGTGTGTGTGTGTGTGTGTGTGTGTGTTTAAAAATTTGGTTTATTCATAAAGAATAAATCGTCATTATCAGAGAAGTGGACCAAATGTTGTGCTCTTATCGTTAAAAAGCTCACATTTGAGAATCCACATTTGCATGACATCGTAATCTATAATTAACACAATCACTCTTGCACGTAATATACTGGCATATACCGAAACATTATTTCTGTTACTGAATCACAGAGAGTTCTTTCAGTTATTTCCTGGCTGGTAGATTTGTAAAAGTAGTCGTTAATGTCCGGTTCTCTGAGGCTCATGCGATCAATCCTAGTAAATATTTATGCAGAAGATGCTACAGTGTATGTGTGTACCTCCAAATATCTAGATTACCAATGCCTGGTAAATAGTCTCTCCTCTGACCTATTTGTGACACTTCAGTATGGAAAAAACTGGCTGCTATTGTAGTGAACTTAAACATAGTAGCACTAACAACCCAAAATAAAGCTTGTATCAGTATTAGGTCTCGAATATAAAAACACATGAACCCTAAAATAACTCTCATTTCCGGGTTTTCTTCTTTTGAACTGTTGACATGAACTTTCCACGCTGAAACAAAAAGGGCTGTCAAAGCTTCACACTAAAACACAGTAAGTTCCACGCGAATATATTCACGAACATTTCGTTGTGTATGCAATTTATTTCTAAAAACAGAAAATCCTGTTTTAAAATTTCCATTTGTTATTTTTTTTCTAATAAATGTGATCTTGCATTGGAAATCAATTGGTCTGTTATTTTGTGCATGTACTCTTTTTCACCACCATTATTTCATATCTACAAAATAATCCCGAAATAATCCTTGGACCACACACGCCAGGCAAGAAAGGCGTCTAAACACCTTTCACATGAGAAGCATCCGCCGCATCCTGGGAATAGCATAGCAAGACAAGGTGCCCAACACTAATGTCCTGTCTCGAGCAGGTTCACACCAGCATGTTCACACTGCTCAGAGAGCGCAGACTCCGTTGATTAGGCCACTTCCACCGCATGCCAGACGCCCACATCCCCAAAGACCTTCTGTATGGAGAGCTGGTGTGTGCGAGTCTGGCAGCCATACGATCCAAATGGACAAACAACTCAAGTCTGGGGAGGAGAAGCTGACACAATTCGCCACGGAAGGGCGGGCCCGTAGAAAGCAAATTGACAGCTTCAAAAGCCCAGAGACAAAACACACATGCGACCTCTGCAACAGAGTCACTCTCACACCGGCCTCTACAGTCACAGACGTCGACGCTCCAGCCAAGTAGACAACTAGGATGCTACCCATGGTTAACACTGCCTAGTACTATTTTATGCCGACTAAATATTCCCGAAAGAAACCTTACACATTTAATTATTGAAGTTGCTAATCACCAAGGTATCATTCAATACATCTAAAACTAAACTCGTAACATTTCTTAGCACACTGATCATACTCTGAATCTGCGCCATTCCTGAGTGGTCATGTCCTTCAAAAGGATCCTCGCTTCGAACGCATAGTGTCTAATACTGATTCTGCGCCTCAAGTTGAACGCATATATTTGTAACATCGCAAAAGATGCTGGAAGAATGGCTGATTCTTTGTATCATCCAAGAAAATACCTAACTTTTGCTACCATGGTCTATCTTTGCAATAATTCAAACCAAGTATGGAGGACTGCTGACATATTTGGATTAGAACTGCCCAAACCTTACTGTCCAAACACGATAGAGTTCAAAAGTACTTACGCGGCCTTGTTATTAAATAGTCTCCACTCTGCAACCCTTATCGAATAGACAAGCCTTTAACTATTATATCGCTATTACTATGGCAATATTCCTTTACATTCCTTAGACCCACCACCTCAGACCTTCACAGCTAGGATCTGCCACGCCCTGTTAACTATTCCCATTCCCTTCAAGTTCCTCTGATAAGAAGCAAGATCGACTCGCTTCTTCTCCAAAAAATTACGTAGATAAATAATGAGGATTTTTTATAAGTATTTTCTCCGCAATAAATTACGTAGCTAAATACTTAGAATGAATCCTGATAAATATTTAGCCATCAATAAAGACACGTCAATCAAGCTTTATTCCATCACCAACTTTTATTAAATCCATACTTAATGTATCATAGATCCATCTATCTACAACCACAATCTGTTCTTTCACTCTCACACAAAATATCCCCTAATCAAGATACGAACATTTCCAGCCATAAATAAAAATGCTCAAGAGACGCTTAAACGCACACACATCAACCAAATTCATCATAGGTAAAATTATGATACGTAGACACACAAGAATTATAGACACGAACGCTACCTAACAAGATAAATACATGTAAGGTTTAACCATTGAAAATACACACGACACAAAAATAAAAAAAATACCGAAATTTTCTATTTACTTCTATACTTTCTGATGAAGCTTAAATGTAAGCGAAAGGGTTAAATTTATAAACGTTTCCTATTTGTTCCTTATCCTATCATGTACCGAGCGTAACAACAAAATTATCCAGATCGTGTTACAGCATACTTGTCCATCCCACAAGATGTTTAATATCTAAAAAAATCCCTAAACTAATTGAGTTTCTTTTTTTACGTGTTTTCAGATAAGTCGTTTACCCATCGTGACATCATTTGTCATAGAAAAATAACAGTCTTCTCAAGTGAGCAATGGTGACATGAAAAATATTATTGGGGCCTTCAGCAGTTGTACCAAAGTTCATACTCTGGCTTTCATATTCAAAGTCCATAAAAGAACAATGAAGAGAACGGTGAATAAGTTTACAAACGAGGGAACAATAGAGAGGAAAACTGGATTAGGAGGTCACAACAGCAAGAGAGATTTTCATTTCAACTTAGAGCTAAAGATATCAATTTAAAAAGATCCAGCTCAACCCATAAGACATTTGGCACGTGAGAGAGGAGTTTCACCTATGACAGTCCAAAGGGCAGTGATAAAACACCTGAAATGAAATTGTACGTGAAACTTTGAAGCATTTTGCTACTCCAGGACAGAAAGTTTTAATGTTAGAGAGGACGAAGATCATCTTGAATAACTTGGGAACTTTATTTCAGTCCTTCATGAGCTTCCGATGCTTATATATGATTAATTAATGATGAATATGTCATTTTCGTTTATGATCGATTTATTCACAATTCTTCTGATAACTTTGGGGAGTAATTATAAATTCTTATTGCTCAAAGTAGAGTCAGTAGTGTTATAAAAACCTCAGAGAATTCCAGTAAGATATCTTTAATCTTTTCTAAGATTTAACAATTGAATAATTTTGCTGTTACACCCGTTATATCTGTAACGTATTCAATCCTGACTTGGCATGTCGACTTCAATCACTTTCTCACCGAAACTGGTAACTGGTAACTGCTTTGACTAGCTTTTTCCCTAGTGCACCGACATCATGAATTTAAGCGGGCTACTAGATTAGTATCCAGGTCCCACCCGTTTAACGTTGAAATAGCTAAATGCACTTCTACTCCAAGTTTCATTTCTCGGGTTTCCCGCCTCTGGAACTCATTTACGTTTACTTGCTTCCCTCATCTTCAGGGGAGCAAGTAAAAAATTTAAACGCAACGTCAACCGCCATCTTCTAGCTTCTGGAATCCCGTTCGTTTGTCATTTCCTCAATCCCCGCTTTACTCATTCTTTTCTCAGGCTTTCACTCCGTGTAACTCTTTGCGTACTAGTGGAATCTCCACCTTGCTTGAGTTAATACAATTTATATATATATATATATATATATATATATATATATATATATATATATATGGTTGCTTAGGTTTATGAATAAAGATTTCACGTTTTAGGAGGATGAAATTTCACGTGTGTTGCTGGTTCATTATTGATGGATTTTTCTGGTCCAATGAGGACTAATAATACATGTGAATTCCCTGCTTCCTGGACATTCATTCACTTATTCACAAAGCAAGCTATGAATTACATATATATATATATATATATATATATATATATATATATATATATATATATATGTATAGAGAGAGAGAGAGAAAGAGAAAGAGAGGGAGAGAGGGAGGGGGAGGGAGAGAGGTGTATTTATGTATGCATGCGTTTTTCTGTGTATGGATAAATGGCCATCGAGAATTTCCTGTCTAACTGGTATTTTTCGCTACTTGTTCTAGAATTTATTTTACGAATCACGTATGTGTTTGTCTTTAGTCTGTACGTGTGTATGCGAGTGTTTCTACTAGAAAGAAAAATGTGTGTGTTTCTGCTTTTGTGCATGTGTGGGGGAAAAGTAAATGGAAAGAAGTGGCACGAGTTCGAAGTTAGCAGTATATACTTTTTATGGTTGAAGAATCAAATACTTTCTCCGGGTTTGTATTTCAGCAGAAGCCGTTAACTGTGCAACGGGTTCTAATTTCCATTTCACAGAAGCAGTCGCTATATGCATGAGAGCATGAGCGCCTCTGCTGTCTTCCTGTTTTCTCTTTCTTTCTTTTTTTCTTTCTTTCTTTCTTTTTCTTTCTTTCTTTCTTTCCTTCCTTTTGTTATTATCTATGCTTCATTTTTCGCATTTAAATTAAACTGATACATTTTCTTTCTGACTTTCATCGCGATCAAAACGGAATGGCCCATTATTTGCAATGTGTAACGCATGTACTAACTTACTAACAGAGGAACAAGCAGCATGACATATATATATATATATATATATATATATATATATATATATATATATATATATATATATATATATATAT